ATCTATCTATCTATGTGTATATATATATATTCTATTGGAAGAGCTTTAACACTACCCATGTTTTGTATATAATCACTTCCTCCTCCTGCTCGACTCTTAGAACCAAAACCAGTGTGGCTGTGGGTCAAAAACAGGGGACCCTGGCTGACCACGAAAATGGACGGAATAGACTACCTGGGAGGTCAACCTACCAAGGGTTGGGGCTCCGGGTTTTGACTCATAGCCATGTCACGGGACCATCATTCATGCCGTTCGTGGTAAAACAAATCCGATGTTCATTCCTCTGCAACAATAAGAAACGTCCACTATCAGCAGTTACAAAGAGCACCAAGAGAAGCAAGAACCCTCACCACCACAACTACGCAACTCATTGCAAGTCCTGCAACAGTATGTAGTGCTGTTGGTCAAAAGGCAGCGATCAGGGCTTGGCTCCACCGTTCCAGGAAACAAGTTGCGATCAAAGCCTGGTTCCAAAAGAAGTAAGAGCGCTTATGGTTTCAGCTATCGTATCTGGGAAAAAATATGTGAAGTTTGGGTGCTCGTGCTGGTGATGCACATGTGCTTAATGTCAAGCTCCAAACATCAGTATTTTCTTCTGAGCATGTAACAAATTGATCAATTTTGAAGTGTGCATAGGAATGAAGTTGTAGAGAAGCTCGAGGGATCCAAGCAGGCAGGTGGCATGCGCAAAAACTACTTTCGGGTCGGAGTTCCTACATGTATGACGCATATGACAAACACTCTCGCTTCAAGTTGTTCGCGGCTTTTCAGATTAATGACTTTCTTTGGATTGTTTCAGAGCAAAACAACTTGCCCAAGATATCAAAGCAAAAGGATCCATGTTTTCATTTCAAGCCCCTTTTTACCCGATTCGTTGGGTCGTTGCTCCTGGCACACCGCGATTCGTGATAAAAAAATCCAGTAACTGCACCACATCAAATACCATCGTTTTTTGTTGCTGTGCTTAAGTGCCGTATGAAAGGTGTCGTTGTTCAATGCTCTCCCACGTCCACATCTTTGGCATCTAAGCACGAAGACGAAAGCATACATACTGACCGGGACCTACTTGCGATGGCCTCCTACCTAGCGATGGCCTCCTACCTAAATCCTTTACTGACCATACCTGATACACCTGGACCATGCGTGAGGTGCTTCTTTGGAAATACCTTACCCTTCTGGCAGCGAAGATCTCAGGAAACCGAGATTGAACAAGTATCGGTCCGCACTAGGAGATGCAGCGATGCAAGGAGATTGTTCCGTGTCGTTCCACCGTTTGTATTGCAATGTCAAAAGCAGGTTTGGGTTGCAGGGCCAGGCCACCAAAAAAATTGAAGTTCTACCAGTCGGGGTCAAACCGTTTGAGCCTGCAGTTCGCGCAGGTCCAACATTATAACATTATCTTTCAGCCGCACTCTTCAAATCTGGACCCTTTGCTGGGGATTTTTCAACATGGTTTCTTTGCTGAGTGTCTAGCAGTAAGTAAAAATGGGCATGGCTGACCATGGCTGAGAATAGCAAGTTTGAAGAATAACTAAAACGCACTGAACGGTGCATCATGGTGCGCCTGAGTATTCAGCAAAACGCTGGGCCACCATGGTCTTGCCCGTGCCCGGCGGGCCATAGAACATGGCATGCTGCAGAGGCATTCCTCGACATCGATACAAACACAATGGAATTCCATCAACAACATGCACACAAGAAACAGGTGAAAACTCTAGTTACAAATGGAAGGACGATTCGATTCGAGCATGATCCGAACATGACGCGAGACCGTCCGGAAACCGTCGTTCCGCAGAGCTTGACTTGCAAGGTTCGGAGCCATCCTTTGTATTGAAAACACAACATTTCGCGCTTCCGCTATCTCTCAAACACGCGCTTTGTACGAGACTTCCTTCCGAAATGCATGTTGAACACCTGCAAAACGAAGCAATTCTGCGAGACCACTGCGAGACTTCCTCCCAAAATGTAACTGGCACTGGAAGACATGATCCAACCAGACATGAAAGTGCCATTTACATTGCGGGAACGATCCTGAAGTTGCAAAACACAATGAAATTCCAGCGACAACTTGTCCACCAGCAACACTTGCAGTCACATTTACAGCGCAGAAGCCAGCCAGGAGTTGTTGCAAACTACAATGGAATTCCACGTACTCACACAAGAAACAGTTGAAAACTCTAGTTACAATGGAGGGACGATTTGAGCATGATCCGAACATGACGCGAGACCGTCCGGAAACCGTCGTTCCGCAGAGCTTGACTTGCAAGGTTCGGAGCCATCCTTTGTATTGAAAACACAACATTTCGTGCTTCCGCTATCTCTCAAACACGCACTTTGTACGAGACTTCCTTCCAAAATGCACGTTGAACACCTGCAAAACCAGAGCTAGAGCTAACTAAAGCTAGAGCTGACTGGAGTTAGAGCTGACTGGAGTTAGAGCTAACTAAAGCTAGAGCTGACTGGAGCTAAAGTGGAGCCAGAGAGCTGACTGAAACTACAGCTAACTAAGGCTAGAGCTGACTGGAGTTAGAGCCTATTAAAGCTAGAGCTGGCTGGAGCTAGAGCTAACTAGAGCTAGAGCTGTTGAAAGTCCGTAACACGGCAGTTTTGCGCGAAGTTTAATTATGTATATATATATAACCGTTATAACCACGACCTCACGCTTTTTCCCAGGCGTTGCAAGAGCCTGGTCTATTGTCCTGCAGAATTGCTCACGCAAAAAGAACAGACGTTTCACTGACGCCACGCACAACCGCGCGGCGCGGCGCACACGGCAACTTTGCCCACGGCGACCTGCCACACCCAGCCTCGTACACACCGCCACTCATCCGCCTCCCCAGCGACGCGCAAACACACTTCTCGCCAACCCCGCGCAAAACCGCGTGGCACAGCGACATCAGGATCGCAGACGGGCTTGGATGGCCACACGGTGCGCCACGCACTACATACCAAGCACAACCACGTCACACCCAGGTTCGTATAGTATCTGCCACTCATTTGCCTCCCCACCGACGCGCCGCATTTGCGCCAGCGTGCTTTCTCTTCCTTCCCCCGCCAGGACGGACTCACGCAAACACACTCTTCACCGACGCCACACAAAGCTGCGTGGCCCAGCGACATCACAGACGGACTTTGGCCACATGGCGCGCTACATACAACCATGCCACCCAGCCTCGTATACACCGCCACTCGTCCGGCTCCCCACGCCGCATTTACGCCAGCGGGCTTTCGTCCCCCCATGGCACGGACTCACGCGAAAACACACTTTTCACCGACGCCGCGCAAAACCGCACCACACACACTGCATCACACCCAGCCTCGTAAACTCTACGCAGACGCCGCCACTCATCCGGCTCCCCAGCGACGCGCCACATTTACGCCAACGTGCTGCTGTCCTCCCTGAGGCCACCTCACTCAGAAGCTGCTTGCCGCGCGACATAAAATTTGTAAGCGTGCCAGTTATGGGGCCAAGAGCCAAATCCTGCAAGAACGCATTGGGCAGAGTGAAATCGCATTTCGCTATAGACCTTTGGGTACTCGACGAATCCGAGCCGGATCCTGTGCGACAGGGTCGCCCAAGCATGGGCAAGTCGCATTTAATGCCACCACACGTTCGAGCACGCGACGCGCGCGATGGGGCTCGCTCAACAACCGCAGAAATTTGACGCACGTTCGAGCGCTCGCGAGACGGATCGCCGCCGCCGACTAAGAGAATTCGCGCGCTATAAATACTTGGGCACTCAACAGGTCGGATCCTGGCGCGGCCGCGCGACGGAATTCGCACGTCGCAAATCGCGTTTGGGCACTCGACAGAGCAAGAGGGGTGCCCGAAGCTACTACCTCCCGCACCACGATACTGCTATTGGCTCCCTCGATGTCCGCAGAATTCGCATTTCGCCGCGCGATCGAAAACTCCACACGCGCAATCCTACAAGAGAGTTCGCCGCCGCGCGACAGAACTCGCAACTTTGGGCACTCGAGGAGCCGGATCCTGCGAGAAGGTTGCCGGAGCCTAAATTTGCACGTCGCTACACGCTTAGGCACTCGACGAGCCGGATCCTGCAAGAGGATTCATCTGGCACCCTTCCCTATCAGAACAAGGTGGTCTCGATTGCAATTGCGTCCACTGCTTGGGCAGCAAGAGCTCCAGAGCAACGCTTGACTGACCGGAACCACCTTCCCAATCGTCCACCCGATCAACCGATGGAATGCCCTGCAGACCTGGCACTCTATAGGTCCTCAACGAGCCACTTGCTACACCTCCCACCAACCTTGGGCGAATCCTTTTCTCCTGTCCACAAGAGCTTCTGAGCCCAATGCTACGGTGCATGATCAGTGGTTACTAGTGGGGGCATCAGTACATATACATATATTGATAGTTGTCAATTAGCTGTATTCTACTTGTAATGCTATGTATATAGTACGCACAGCAATACCTTGCGCAAACCCGCAACAGTCAACAAAACATCTTGTCACATATCAACCAGGAGAGATTGCCTGGGTGACCAGGTCTTCTGAGAACTCAGCTGCGCTTCTTGGCAGACGATGTTGCATCTGCTAAACGCATCACCTGCCAGGCCAGTGTTCGCCACGTCGAAGCCGAAAGGAGATTGAACTGCCAACGTTCGTATTGCGCCTGCTGTCGCAGTCTAGGGTGCAGCACTACATCATTGAATTCCGCTCCATGAGGCGGTCTCAGCCTCAACCTTGTTTCGAACTGGAGGATGTCGGCCGCAACACATGGCTAAGATGTCCAACTATGCTCACAAGAGATGTACAATTGTATCATCATCATCATCACCAACATCATCATCATCATCATCGTCATCATCGTCATCGTCATCATCGTCATCGTCATCATTCATTCATTCATTCATTCATTCATTCATTCACGCATGCATACATACATACTTACTTACACAATTTTATTGCATCACATTACATTACATGCCATAACCCTATATAACATACCACAACATAATCATAACATAACATGACATAACACAGCATAACATAACATAACATAACATACATACATACATGGCTCAAGACACGAGCGCTCAAGCTGGTCCCCGCAAGAAACCCAGCTGGCACGCATATCCCCAAGCACCACGTGCACCCTAGCTTTTAGCTGGGCGACACCGCCTCGGTGTTCCACCTCGCTGTAATGTCCCACAAACTACCTGCACGGCGCCTATGACATAGCCCGCCATGGTGCTACAGCACTCCATGTGGCCCTGGAGCCTGGAACGCCTCATGAGGCAGGAGACCACAAAGAGCAATGGCAAGCATGGCATCACAGTCCTCCTCGATGTGAGCACCTTCTACGATACCATCTCTTTGAGCCGACTTAGCCCAACAGCTCAACTACCCACCCTTGGGTTGCTGACGAAGAACTCACTGGCTGGTTCTATGTCACGCATGGGGTAGCAGCTGGGTGCGCATAGGCACCCCTTGCTAGTAGAAGCCTATCTAGCACCTGCGTTGATCCCTTTCTGCCAGCAACACCCAGCGCTCCGTCTCAATGGATGGGTTGACGACATCGGCTTCGACTGCGAGGGTGAACAGGCCGATCAGCTTGCCCACAACACAATACAAGCATGGCAACAACTCCAAACTGGCCTCCAGACCATGGGCTTAAAGGTCAACAAGAAGAAAACCGCCTTCATACCGATACCAAAACCAGCAGGGCTCCCCAACAGCGATTGGGCCCCGATGACCCCGCAGTGGCAACGGTGATGACAGGGGCACTGATCGCCAGGCTGGCCGCAGAAGGCGTTTGCCGGCGCTCAAACAACGCTTCCAACACGACTGCGGCTTCATCGAGGAGGCATCCAGGATCCTTGGGCGCGGTCTACGACCAACACTGTGAACACTACATGGACTTAGGTGACCAGGTCATCGTCCACCACATCCAAGCTTTGCGTATATAAGCTCCTTGAACACTGGCCTGCCGACCATCTCGCCCATGGTGTCTGCTTGGCAAGCCCTCCACGCGAACTTGCAGGACAAGCAACACACCTTGCACCCATGGCTGCTGCCATGACATGTATGAAAGAATGGGGATGGCAAGCTGAACAACTTCATCAATGGCACCGACCAGAGATCCAGTTCACGACAGCCGAACAACTCGATCTCCATGCACCACGGTGGCAGGTTGAAGCCATTCTCCATCGGGAAGCTAAGCAACAACGCGCCCAGCAGAAGAAACTGCCAATACCTGGTCAGTGGGCTGGCAGAGAACACTTGACCAAGACCATAAGGTCATCTATCAACATGCCCTGCAGCGGCTGGAGGCCATTTACAAGGATCCACAGCACTGCATCCATGAAGAACCGACAGCACGAGCTGGGCACAACACCAAGCAGTACAAGAAACGGCTCTCATCCAACAACGCAAGCAGCCTGGGTCACCGGCAAACACCAGTGGAAGCAGCATCGAAGTGGCTACACCAGCCTCAAGAGCTGCTACTACCCCATGAGGTCTTCAGCAGCATTTATCATGAAAATCCCGACACATGGAAAAACACATTATTCCAAGCCCTGACAAGTTGCATGAGTGGTGGGGCGCAGTTGATGGGCATCCTACGATGCAGGACAACCCTTTGCGCCAAGATGTCCCCATCTACCAGGACAAAACAGTACCATTGCTGCTGCATGGCGATGGTGTGCCAATCACGAGGATTGCCAAAGGATGGTGCAAGCAAGCCACAGTGTTCAGTTGGGCTTCCATGCTCACTGGCGCTACCACCAAACGAAGTCAAATGTATATTTGGGGCGCCTTTGACAAGTTGGTTGAAAGGTGGGGGCGTAGATGGTACATGGAGGCAGTTCTTCAACATCTTGAAGTGGTCACTCCCTTTACCTGCGCGACCCAAAAAGTAGATATCAACCTGGACCTCTAAGACACGTTGAGCTCTGGGACGACGGGGACTCCTACCAACACCTCGCCCACTGGCATTCGACGCAGTCCGGGTCGCGCGGATAGTGTCCTCTCAAGACATGGCATCGCAATCTGTCCCCCATACTCTGGACAGCGCTCACCGTGACGAGTCCATCCTGCATGTAATCTTCCTGGTCGACACGCATAGGTACCTCGCGGTCCTTCAAGGCCTTTGGTTTCCTTGCATTCTGCCAGACCTGTCAAATCAGAGTCCATCAAGCTTTGAGTACAGAAGTCCTTGAGCAGCGACAGCTGCAACTAGAAGCAGTTGGCAAGAAGGTCGCTCGGTCAAATGCAGCAAATGCGCTGTATCGGTCCACAAGCGGGCCAATGATGAAGCCTTCAATGGTTTTGTCAACAGTGAATGCATTGACAAGAGCTACGAACAACCCCGTCAGGCAGCCACCTGCTCTGGCTCAAAGAGCTTTTCCAGGCCACCAGCCAGACAGAGACAGCCCACACCACCTTGCACCTTGAGGCCACACAGGCACACCAGTCTGAGGACCCTCTCCCCGTCGCAGCCGCATCAGCCAACCATCTGATGAGGCGATGGAGGAGCGCGCTGTCACCGAGCCACATTGCCAGCTGCCTTCCTCGACTTCAGGTGGGACAAACCCTGAACTTGCGGCCATGACACCCAGCCGCAAAAACTTAGAAATGGCCCAGGAACAACCGACCGAGAACTGAGAGGAAGAACCCATGGAAGACGACCCGCTGATGGAGGTGGACTTCTTCTAGCGGGCGGCAAGGAGCGGCAGCTGCACAGGCCAACGCGGCCATGAGAACAACAGAAAAAGAGTGCCTTTAGGAGAACAACATACACACATACATACATACATACATACATACATACACACATACATACATACATACATACATACATACACACATACAGACATACATACATACATACATACATATATACAGACATACCTACCTACCTACCTACATACCTACATACCTACGTACCTACGGACCTACGGACCTACGGACCTACACACCGACAGACAGACAGACAGACAGACAGACAGACAGACCGACCGACCGACCGACCGACCGACCGACCGACAGACCGACTGACCGACCGACCGACCGACAGACAGACAGACAGACAGACACACTTACATACATACATTACATTACATTACATTACATTACATTACACTACACTACACTACATTACATACATTACATTACATTACACTACATACAATACATTACAAACATTACAAACATTAAATACATACATACATACATACATACATTTGCATTCCACTCCATTCCAGTCCATTACATTACATTACATACATCCAAACACGTATACCTTACATGACATTACATTACACTACATACATACACACATACAAACAATACATTACATTACATTAGTACATACATACATACATAAATACATACATACACACAGACATACATACATACGTACATACATACATACATGCATGCATACATACATACATACACATACACATACACCCACGCCCTACAGCCTACAGCACATCCACGCCCTACATACCCTACTGGCGCACTGGCCTCCAGGCCACCTGCAACACATCGAGCAAGCGTGGCTGGAACTCCGCAATCAGCTCCGGCTGGTAGCCCTCCGGACTCCAAAGGAAAGGCACCATCACAGGCAGCTCAAACCAAGGCCAGGGCTCTCTTCCAGGGCCTCCTGACCTTAGCTCAGTTCGCCCAAACACCAGCCACGGTCATTGCGCAATTGGGCTCCGTCTGGGAGGCGTGGACCAACCCAAATAAACGCATCCGTGACCTCGCCCATGGGCACCCGGAGGAGACATACGCTGGAATCACACCGCTTTACATCAGCAAGAACCAGAGCACGCCAGATGCACCAGCAAATGAGCAACACCTCCGACAAAGACAAAGGGACGCAGCTCTGGCAGCCTGGGAGAGGACACCATCTACAACCAACACGCGGAAGCATGGCAGCGCACTTTGGATCACGACAAAAAGGAGGTCTACACCCATGCTGCAGCCCCCTAGAGAAGATCTATAGAGATCCACAACACTACCTCCACGACAAACCAACCATGAATCACTGGCAAACATCAATTGCCAATGCCACACCTGCCAAACCAGGGTCCACCAAGGTCTCACAGTGGAGACCATAGAGACCAGGCTCCAACGAACAGGATTGCGACCAGCTTGGTAAGAAACCAACAGGGCCAGCGTCATTGCTGGCCTTCTCCAAGCACAGCAACAACATCCAGTCACACCGGATGAACATGCCTTTCAGGAGACCAAAGGGTATCTCAAATGCAGCAAGTGCAACCTGGCGGTGCACAAAAGAGCCAACGAAGACACCTTTCACAGCTGCATTGATGAGGCCTACCGCCACCAGCACCAGGGTCACCACACCTACACTTTGTGACAGCGAGGCAAGACCATCAAGCGCAAAGGCTGCGGGCTGCAAAGCCATTTCGCAAGCCAAAAGCAAGCAGTCTCCAACCGGCCACGAAACCCAGCCTGCGCCGGAGACACCACCACGCCAGTCCACCGCGGCGACAAACTCACCTGCAGAGGACTCACGCAGGGCTCCTAGCCCTTCAGCGCCAACGACCATGACACCCAGCCCAGAAGGTGCAGAACCGGAGGGAATGGACATCAGCCCAGAAGGTGAGGAAGAAGTCCCACAGGAACATGACTTGGAGTGCGCAGTCGACGAGGGCACCTCTGATGATGACGCACTCGGCGCGGTCGACTACTTTTGAGAGCCCACACTTTG